GGGGGGGGGGCGGGGAGAAACACTTGCAGTTTAACTGGAAGAGAGAAGAAGAGCACTTACTCCATTTCAGTCATAATAGCTGCAAAGTCTTGCCAACAAACAAATGGGCTGACAGAGTGCTTTAGAAGCTCCATCTGTGCCTTCAGCTATGCTTTTATTTCATTCAGAGTGCATGACTATGCAGAAGTGAAATGATTTTCAAGCTAACTTTGGGAGAAACATACAAGGTGATGAAGTAAATCAGTACCAGTAAAGAGGACCTTACGTCTCTAGGTTACTGAAATGAAGAATAAGCTAGTACAGTATCTTATTCTCCTCACTACCAGCTGCCTCACAGCCATGCAGCAAAACTTCAGCACTACTGACACAGTTCCTACCTGCTGGTAGCCACCATCCCACGGCCACCAACTAAAAGCAAAACAAGGGATGAGCAGAGTCCCAGAAGACAGGGCATCATACCCTACACCTCCGGAAAGCTAAGATATACCCTTAACTGCATGGCCAGAGACACATGTCCCATTTGAATAGTGCCCACTCTGAGATGAAACAGGAGTTCAATTCCTACAGCTGCCAACTCAGTACTAAAATTCAGCTCAGTTAGAGAGGATACAAATTCAATGGAAAAATTTGGGAGCAGCTCTCATCAGACACGTTTAATCACCAGGTTGTTAGTTTCTAGGTTTGCTTGTTAAAAAAAAAACAAACAAACAAAACAACAAAACACCCCACAAGAACAATCCTGCACACATTGTCACAAACCAGAAACTTTATTCACGTACTCCTCAACTTTATAATCCAGAAAGGATTAAAACCCAAGCTCAACAGTCATAGGAAATACAATTACCATTAGAAAAATAGCAGACAAGGTAATTATTCCATGTGAGTTGTGTGTCCCCTTAGGTTTCTAAGAAACATGAATTCCGATTTTTAGACCCTGTTTCTGAACAAGCTAGATTTCCTTGTACTTGGGAAAGCATGCATACATTCTTATGGGTCATATAACAAAAAAAAAACCTAGGGAGATGAGCAAATTGCAGGTGCCCATTCAGGTTAAAAATGGGAGTGCCAGTCTCAATGTACAGTTAGGAAGAAAAACAGAGAATGGCATTTGCCACATCTGCAAACTGAAACAGCACAAGATAGCTGAACGTCTTGTGTGAGCACAAGTGGCAAGTCCCACACAAGCAGGTTTTCAAGTTTTGGGTCCCCCTCACCTACATATAGGCATTCCTACCATCTCCCATTACTGTAATATTTGTGAAAATTCCTATAACAAGCTGAAGCTCCAAGCCCGCCACATGCAGGGGAAGCATCCTTCTTGTTGTGAACTATGTTTGTTAAACATGCGAGATGACATGAAGAGCAATAGGAAAAGTTACCTGCAGATCCACGCTGCGAGAACTTGCAATCCAGTAATTGAAACCCAAAACAATGATGCACGCCACAAGCGCAGCCACAAGTAGAGGTGGAGACTTCATCCCTCGGCAGCTGTTTCCTAGTCCTACCATTTCACAAAAAAAACAAACCCAAAGAACCACAACCGTGTGGAAACCTGCAAATCAAAACAGACACATTATATTGCATCCTCTGCTATGGCTATTTTATACATGGAATTAAACTTTTACTGCAATAATGCAACAGCTCTCAGACGAAGGGACTACACCCAGCAATGAAGCCTACATATTTCCATCTGAAGGACAAAGGAATGCCAAATTAGCAGACACTCCAGTGATTTCAATGGTAAATTGTATTAAGTGATGTTTGCTTTGATCCCCCAGCTGCTTTCTCTGCTCCTAACAGAAAATAAATAGCCTTACTTTAACAAATGAGCAAGGGTACTACTGGCTGAGATCTGTGTTGTTTCTGTGGAACAGCCCGTCTTAGCAGAAAAGCAGTGGCAAAGGGCAGTTGAAATTATGTTTGAAATAGGCCACATTCGTCCTATGAGATCACAAAATCTGGTATTAATGAGTGCAATAGCACCTAGCTCAATGAATCCTCAAACTCCACTGAGAATCTTGGGCACGGTTTGTAACAGATTGCTCTCCTGTAAACTGAGATCAACTTTTTTTTCTTTTCACACTCTGCAGACAAAAGCCAGCAAAAATGAGCACAGAAGATCAAACAGAGAGCAAACACGCATGCATCGCAAGACACTAACTAAATCTGAAATAGGTACATTTACTATTAATATATTGTACAGTCTCTCAAGGTGCATGCTCTTAAATAAACCAACTTCTTCCCTCCAGACCTAATTCACAGGTTGCGATGTATTTAAAAATGAATAAAAGGTAGCAACTCTCAAAGGGTTTACACATGGACATACACTGTAATTACAGGCGAAGAAGGCAACCCCAGCAGCGAGCAGGTACCAGAAATGCTGATTCTACTATACGTCCAGCACTTCAGTCCTTCAACAGCTCATCTGTGCCTAAGTGTGCACATGCAAAATCCCCTCTTTGCATTCAATTTAAGAAACAACCCAACCTCCTCTTTTCTCAGCAGGGAGTGCACAATGCTGCCAGACTGGTGAAGGTTTCAAACCTATTTGTTCATTGGAAGAGTCTGTGAATTTGTTTATATTTGTGGATGGAGCATATATGGAGCCTAAGAGTAAAACACAGCTTCCTGAAAACGCCACCTCTTCGTGTACATACACACCAAACACAACCAAACCAAAACAAACCCAAAAAAGTGTGCACAGTTGCACAGGTCTGACACCGAGGCCCCAGTCACTTGCCTAAGGAAACCTCAGCTACGGAGCAAACTGACACATGCAGCACAGCTCCAGTGGACACCCACAGGGTCATGTACAGCTGAGGTGAGGTCAACAGAAAAAGCAAAAGTATGGGGAGGAACCATGTGTTTTTGCGGTAAAGCAAAAAAATCAAGATGCAGTAGACCAAAACACACAAATAGAGAGGCATGATGCACAAATTTCCAATACAAAGCCAAGAATTGAAAAAAACACGTACATCTTGCACAGACTATTCTCCTGCCATCCTAAGAGGAGCGCCTCACAAGTATGGAGCCACCTCGCCTTACTCAGATTCCCTGAAAACCAAGAACCACAGATCTCCAGAGTGGCAAAAATGAGAGGCGGTACATGGGGATGACCAGCACCGCCACACCAGCTAAAAACAAGATAATTAATTTACTTTTGCTTACTACATTTCAAAAAACATTATCTCGGAACTTGTCATGAAGTCATTCATATCCTGTTCTTTGCTTTAAGAGTATTAGTTGGTATACTTGAAAATACGGAAAAATTACTAAATATAATACCGCAACACATAGTGTATCATTCCAAGGGCTACTTAAATAAAATAATTGGTAAATTCCTCCTAGCAGTCAGAAACAGAGAAGGTTATGTTACCTATGTTACCAGCAGTGACAACCTGCACTGGAATTTAACTACTAGATAAACATATGGGACTAGCTGTTTAGCTCAAAAATTTTCAGAGATAAAGCAATCTATATTGTTCAACGCACAAATGATTCTTGAAGTACAGGTGCAAAATCGTGTTAAAGGACTGCCGATACACCTGCCAAGTACACAAATCCAGCAGTCTCAGTTCTGCTGTTTTCAGCTATTAAAAACAAGCAGGCAAGAAAACACTGTTTTCACTAAAGCATGTTTGACTTCAATACGTTGTTCTCTCTAGAAAATCCAGTGTTGTTTGCACTTAAATAATTTATGTTAATTAGGAATATATTTTTATAGTCAACAAAAGGAAAGGCAAAAGGAAGTGGAAAGAGATGAAACAGAAGGACCTTCCATCCAAATAGTGCAGACCCAAAACATCACCTCAGTTGTAATATTGATATTCCCTCTCTCATCAGTTTAAAAATAAAAACTGTTTAACCTTCTATCATGGATACACACACGCATGTATTTTGGAGGAGACATGAACAAATGAGATTAGTAAGTACATTTACATGGGAATGTATTTGTACATGCTGTTTTCCAGGAAACATCTGGCTGGGCACAGTTATTTGAGTTGAAAACAAAACATGTTTCTGATTTGATGGTGATTTGATGGGTAAGAAAGTGACTTGACTGAACATGAAGGAATCCATCTTTCATGAATGTTTACTACAGATGTGAAAACAAGATGCTGTATCACATGAATAATGTTCTACATTTCGTATAGCATAAATTTCCTGACTTCTGAACAGCAGATTTTATCCTTCTGCTTTGCCAACCTAGCAGTGCTTTATTTAGAGGGAGATGTTGTAGACTCTGAGACATTCAAGCAAACTAACATATAGCATACTTTTATTTCCCACATTAATATACCATCAGTCTGAGCAACTCTTTCTTTTACTATACTCAGCTGAAGTAGGATAGCTGGTATCCAGCAATCTCCCACTACAGGTAATTAATAACCACACCAACTAAGTCTCAAGACTAAGACATCAGACGCAAAGACAGAGCAAAACAATTTGTGCATTTCAGACTCCCGGAAGGAAAGTCAAGTCTCTCTGCTCACAAAGTCCAGCTCTGTGTATTTACATGAGACCTGCCAAGCAGCAACAAAGCAGAACAGATGAAGAATTCAATAAAAGGAGTGCACAGCCAGGTGGGGGGAGCAAAAGGGGTCCCTTCTGCCCCCACCTCCTTACTTGCCTACCGACTGCCTCCTCCACCACCTAGCCACCACATGGTACAAAGCCAGCATAAGCAGGAGCAGCATGTGAAGACCATGTACAGCTGGAGCAGGCACTGAAAAGCAAAGGAGCATCTTACTTGGATGTCTGCACCTCCAAGTAAGGACAGAACCTTAGGAAAACCTCCTTTAGGAAGGTAGGGCCATAACCAGAGACAAAAAGGAGGAACAAAACCCAACAAGGACCTGAGGGCTACTGGACAGCACTGAGAGGACTCGCAACCCCATCCCAGCCAGGCTGGCCAACAGGCGACCAACTGCTCTGCCCAAGCTGGGAAAACCTCCTCCCACTGAGGGACACCCAGTGGTGCTATTCCCACCTTTTGCACATTCCTCTCCAATTTCTCAGTGAGATTCTGGAAGAAATTACCTGTTGGCTTTTTTTTTTTTTTTTTCCCCAAATATTGCCACAAATTCCTATGTCTGACTGCTTGAATAAGAATATACCATCTTAACCAGACAAGCTAATCAAAATCTCTTCCATTGACAACAGTTAGTTACACCCAGAGATGACTAAATCAGATTAAAAGGTACTAGAAACTGGTAAAAAACTAAAAAACAAACAAAAAAATCCCCCCCAAAAAACAACAACCCCTGCCACACACCCCCACCCCCCAACTTTAATAAAAGCAATTCTTATAAAAGCAAATCAGAGAGCAAACATTTGTGCACCCAGTCTTCCAAAAGAAGGTGATCGTTTGGGGGCGGGTAGAAACGGAGAGGTGACGAAAATGAGTCAAAAACTTTCAGTTTTAGTTTTTATATATCGTTAACATACAGTAGTGATCATCCTTGAAAGAGAAATCCAATTGTTGGATTGTCACTCACAGCTGGTCATTACCCACAAGTACCACCACTCGCAGTGATGTAGCAAGAACCAGTTACCGCCAGCAGTAACCTTTATGCTTTCAAGGGTGCACTGACTGCTGACGAGGGGTCAGAAACTGGGTCTAATACACTGTCATACAACACAGCAAACATTTCTTATCATCCTCTGCAGCAACAGTGTTTGAGGGTGGGTTTTTTTCAAGTTTGCAAGTCAAAAGAGGTCAAACAAATGTTTTTGCAGGAGAGTTTTAAAGTTTGTACAATGAACTCAGGGCTGCTGAACACAAACTTTCTAAATACCTTTCACAAAAATCCACAAACTGCATGCTGGAAAAAAAAAAAAAAAAAACAAAAAAACAACAAACCAACCACACAACAAAAAACTCCCGAAACACTCAGCAATTTCAAACTTGTGTACTTTGGACAAGTGCCTCACTTTGAAGCGGCAACCACCACCACCCCACCCCCCCCCAAAAAAAAAGCAAACACAGATGCCACAGGATGTCACTGAGTCACTATTTGCCCAAATTATCAAGTTACACTTTTCAGAGGAACAGGAAGAGGAGAAGCATTTACAGCACATTCAGCAACGACATTCCCATCCCTCTCAGGAATAACCATCAATTCGGGTCTTAGATCTTCCTTTTCTAATGCATTTTAAACTAGAAGTAACAGATCAGAAGAGCATGAAAATACTGAAAAAACATTATCTGTTCAAGGGGAGTAGTATCAGTCAGAGACCGGTGTCACTCGCCACCACTTATGTTTCAAATCGGGAAGTATCTCTTCTTTCAAAAGACTACTTTATTAGTAGCTGATAACCACCCGCCCAAAATGTCCTGCCCTTTAATCAGATAAACAGAAATCCCAAATAGGTGTGTAACAAAAAAGATGGCAGAAGTTTAAGGTAGGTATCTCTTCTAATAAAGGAAGTTAGGTAACCAAAGGCAACTTGACAAAATCTTCTAAAATACCCACACAAAGTTTCCAGACATGCTGTATAGGTGTAC